CGCTGTAGCTCAAGTGGTAGAGCGCTCGCCTTGAGCTGAAGAGCTGAGGAACAGCGCCCAGGCCCAGAGTTCAAGCCCCACGACCAACAAAAAAAAAAAAAAAAAGAATCTCACAGACTTTGCTCCCCGGGCTGGCTTTGAACCGTGATCCTCAGATCTCAGCCTCCTGAGTAGCTAGGATTACAGGCATGAGCCACCGGCGCCCAGCCACCAAATGTTTTAAATTTAGGAAATCTTACATTTTAAGATGGTATGCCTTAATATGAATAAATTCTCAAAGAAGATTTAAGAATGCCCTATGAGGCAATATTATCACAACTCTTTGAGTAACTTACAAATACTGTAGGTGGCTTTAGCACTCCAGAGAGCCTTGGCAGGAAACTACCAGCCACCCAGTAGACCTGGCTGCTAAGGGTGGACGCACTACCCCCTGATGTTGGGTGTCCCAAAGAATGAGAAGGAAGAAGGAAGTAGTTGCCAGGCTTCTGGATGATGTGGAATCAAGAGCAGGAGAGCCTCAGGTCATGTTCAATCACACACACACCTCTTAAGATGCAGTCATCTTCCAATATCCTAGATTTTGAAACCTACAGGTGTACAAGTCCTTTATATAATATGGTACAGTAGTAGTTCCATGGGGCCCACGTGCATGCTCCTGAGCATTTAAATCCTTTTTTGATGACAATATCCAGTGCAGTGTGACTGCTGTGTAAGTCCTTAGATAAGTGGCCTAGGGAATTATGACAGGAAAAAGTTTGTATGGCAGGTGCTGGTGGCTCACGCCTGTAATTCTGGCTACTCAGGAGGTACTAAGACCTAAGGATTGCAGTTCAAAGCCAGCTGAGGCTGGAAAGGCTATGACACTCTTATCTCTGATTAACCACCAGAAAACCAGAAGTGGCATTGTGGCTCAAGTGGTAGAGCACACTAGCCTTGAGTAAAAGAGCTCAGGGACAGTGCCCAGGCTCCCAGTTCAAGCCCCATGACCAACAGTAACAACAAACAACAAAGTTTGAATAGTACAAACACAGTATTTCTCCCCCCAAATATTTATAACTATCAATAATTAAATTTGAACGTGTGGCACCTGTGGTTATGTGTGACCAATGGTATTGAGTGTGTGTGCGTGTGAGCGCGCACTTGTGGGCTCACGTGTGTTTGTATGTGTGTACATGAGTGCGCATGCATGCACAGGAAGAGTCTCATTGACTTTCCTACCTGAGCTAGCGTTGAACCACAATCCTCAGATCTTAACTTCCTGGGTAATTAGGATTACAGGCCTGAATCACCAGTGTCTAGCAATTGTCTTTCTTTATTTTAAAGACAGTCTTTCTATGTAGTTCAGATGGTTGCACGCTTGCAGTCCTCTTCCCTCTGCATCTCAAGTGCTGGGATTACATGTGTGCACCACCAGACCTAGCAGTGAAGTTTTTGTTTGTCCACATCATAGTTGGCACCTAACTCTTAATATCTTTCCCAGCCATGGGATCCCCTTTGGGGAATACTTCATTTTTATTCTCTACTTTCCTCCTGTCTGTCTTCTTCCTAGGTAGGGATGTGTTGGACATTGTAGACTGTGTACATTGGTGAAAGATGTGACACTCACAGGGCTGGTCCTCCTTTGCTTATATCCTCTTTCACTGAGCACCCTTGGTGCTTATTGGTGCTCTTGCTTTACTTTTTCTTGTATTACAAGGCAATAGGAGTGCTAGGAAGGTGGCTCAGTGGTAGAGCACTGCATGCATGAGGCCCTGGGTTCGTTTCCTCAGCACCACATAAGCAGGAAAAAAAAAAAACGGAAGTGGTGCTATGGCTCAAGTGGTAGGTTGCAAGCCTTGAGCTGAAGAGCTGAGGGACAGCGCCCAGGCCCAGAGTTCAGGCCCCACGACCGGACCCAAAAATACAAGGAAATAGGAGTTTTGTGGTTTGTTTTGTTTTGTTTTAAAAAAAAAAACATGTCCCATGCCAGGTTCCTGTACCTCACACCTATAATCCTAGCCTCTCAGGAGGCTGAGATCTGAGGAATGCAGTTTGAAACCAACCCAGACAGAAAAATCCTTAAGACTCATATCTCTAATCAATCACCAAAAAGCCAGAAGTAGAGCTGTGGCTCAAGTGGTAAGAGTACTAGCCTTGAGCAGAAAAGTTTAGGCCTTGCCCTGAGTTTAAGCCGCAAGACTGGCACCAAAAAAAAAAGCATTTCATGCCATCCCTTCCCACAGATCTGAGGGCTTGTTTTACTGAAGTTATTGTTCCCCCCTCATCTATTGGTCCACCTGTTTGTAGTCAGCCAACCTTGGGTCACAAATAAAGTGTGTCCTGAACACAAACATGTACAGACTTTCCCTTAGGTCATTCCCTACAGTGTTACAATGCTGCACAGTGTCTACATTGTATCAGCGTTTACATCAGTAGGATTCTGTACAAAAGTCAGATTGGGTGTCTGTGAGAGGTCACATGTTAGCTAGTCTATGCTATGTAAACATGAGGACATTTTGTTTATTTTTTTGAGAGGGAATACAAAGTATTCACATGTTGAAAATAATTGGTTACGGAGTGGCTCTCTGGCTCAAGTGGTAGAGCGCTAGCCTTGAGCTGAAATGCTGAAGGACAGCGCCCAGGCCCGGAGCTCAAGCCCCAGAGGAAAAAAAATAGTTACATAATAAATTAGTTTAAAAAAAGAAAAGTCAAGTAATGTATTTAAAGTGACAGTGCAATACAGAAAAGCAGTGGTTTTAATGACTTTAACTGGGAGAAGAATCACATACAAGAAGCTAGAAGGATTTCTGTTAGGAGTTTATACAGAAGGCTGGACATCCTGCTTCCTCCAGCATCACATGATGCTGAGGCAGGAGCATATAAACCCAGATGTGTCAGGCTAACCTGGACATCATACTGACACGCACACACACACATCTCAAGGGAGGAAAAAACATGTAAGTTGTTACTCTACCATTTTTTTCCAGGTATAATTTCAGAATTTGAGCTCTAATTCATACTACTTTTTTTTTGGGGGGGGGTGCAGACATGGGGCCTGCACTCTGGGCCTGGGTGCTATCCCTCAGCTCTTCAGCTCAAAGCTAGCGCTCTACCACTTGAGCCACAGTGCCACTTCCGGCTTTTTTTTTCTTTATGTGGTGCTTAGGAATCGAACCCAGGGCCTCATGCATGCAAGGCAAGCGCTCTACCACTGAGCCACCTTCCCAGCCCCCAATCTAATGTTTTCTGCATCTTGGCCTGGGGTATACATTGTATTCTTTTGTTTCCATGCATGTGACATAATTAGATGCAGGTTTCTCCTTCACTCAAGGTATCCGTGTGTGGTGTGGGGTTGGGGGATGGGGGTGAAGGACGCTTCTGCTTTAACTGCTCCGCAGCATTCATGGCATTCATGTGGCGGGAGGCCCTGCAGCTCCCTTGCTAGTGGGTGTCCTGTTGTCCCCGTGCTCCCCCTGACAACATGACAATTGTTGTGCCTGCCTTCTGCAGGCTGACGTGGGCTGTTAGAAGAGCAAGCTCCTCCTGCCTCAAAGAAACATGCATTCATTTCTGCCCCCTCACACTCCAGTAAGGTTGGACCAGTCTCTACTGTTATGTTCTCTCAAGTGAGGCTGCCCTAGCAACCATTCCCCCCTCCCCCCTCCCCTGCGGCTCCCTGCCTAGACTTGGAAATGAGGTACCCTGGGGTTAGAGTCGGAGCCAGCCTGCAGGAATCTCAGTGCCCTGGCACCATGAAGCCCATCTTGCCACCCCACCTGGGGCGGCTGCCTCTTACGTGTGAGCTTCTTCCTGGGCTCCTGGATCTGGCCCTAGGCAGATGGTTGCTGTTTGGCCCAGCTCCAGCTGGCTAAGGTGGATTGCACATTGGTTTGGGAGCCAGCTCTAAAACTGGGCCCTGTTTCAGACAGATAATATTTCTTAGACAAAGTCACGTGACCATCAGGGAAGTGGTAGCCATGCTGTGATGGGGAAGCCTGGGCACCTCGTCTGCCTAAAGCTCCGGGGCTCGCAGACCATGGTGAGTCCTGGGTTCATAGGCAACAGAGACATCATGGAGGGCCTTGCACGGCAACTGGTGCCCAGCAGGTGTGGGCAAACCTGGCCTCTAGGAAAGTGCCATCTGGGTCCTGCACAAAACACAGCAACAGAAAGGGCGTACATATTCTGCCCAGAAGGCCTTCAATGTAGCCGTGACTGTTACACTGGGGACTTGGCAGGCACCTTACGGTCCAGGTTCCCCAGACATTTGCCAGCATTTGAGACTGCCTGGGGCTGGCCCCAGCAGAGATGGAGCAGTGACGATGGGTTCTTGCCAGTACTTGGGGGAGCGGGGAGCACAGGGGCCTTGTTCATGTCTAGGCCTGGCCCCTCCCCTAAAGCTAAGGCTAAGTCCCAAAACTGCTTGGCTTCACGGCTGCCTTTGGGGTGTGGTAATCTGGAAGTTCCATTCGGGCTAAAGACCAGCCCCAAGGGGGCTCGGCACCAGATGAAAACATCTGCAACTTCATCCCCCTCCACAAGACATGGCCTTTTGCAACTCATGTCCTTCTCAAGTCAGGTCCAGCCCCTCTCTCACAGCCTCTTTCCATCTAAGGGAATGGGGAGCTCTTTTCTTCCAGTTTTCACCTTTTCCCTCATTGTTCTTCACCCAAGCAGTTTGGCTGTCAGGAGTGTAGACTTGCTGGGACATAGTTAGATAACAGTCAGTTCCTTCGGGCGTCCTTGCACCTGAGCCCTTCAGGCGACAGGAGCCTGTGGAGCCCCAGGTCCTTGTAGCCTGTGCCTGGTTCAAAGCTAGTCAGCGGAGAACCTGGGGACCCTTATGCCCCAAAACACAGCTTCGCAGCAGCTTTCTGCCCCTGGCAAAGGGGAGCTTTTCTTACTCTCAAACTCTCAAAAGCAAAGAATGGGCTGGGTACAGCTGGCTGGTAAACACTTGCCTAGTCCACAGAAGGCTCTGGGCTCCATCCCCAGTACCACCAAGAAAGGAAAGAAGTGAAGTTGTGGTAGGCAACATTGACCAGAGACCACAGGGCCCCACCCCTGACTGACCCTGTGGTACCCCTTATTCCTAGGAACATGGCCAGGTCAGCTGCGGGCCCCTGTTCCTGTCCTAGCGCTGTGGCCTCCAGGCAGGCAGGTCGGTCCAGTGCTACAAATCCCACCCTGCCCTGTGACCCTTGGCTTTTAGTCCTGAGCTGACCTGGCTTCTGGAGGGCTTGGCACTGAGCTTCTGTTGTTCTTTATCTGCCTTCCCAGATCCCCTCTTATCTGGGCATATATGTGCATATTTATCAAGTCCCTGGCCCCCTCTGTGGCATTTGAGTTTGTCTATGGACAAACAAGTTACTGTGAAAGGCTGTAATGTTTCTGGTTTTATAAAGGTGTTCTTTTTGTTTGGGGAATGAATCCAGGGTCTTAGTATGCAGTATGCTAGGCAAGTGCTCATGACTGAGCTCTGTGTGTGTGTGTGTGTGTCTGTGTGTCTGTGTGTGTCTGTCTGTCTGTCTGTAGATCCTAGGGCTTGAAGTCAGCCTGGGTGCTATCCCCAAGCTTCTTTTGCTCAAGGCTGGTGTTCTACCCCTTGAACCACAGCTCTACTTCTAGCTTTTTTTTGTGGTTTATTGTCTCATAAACTTTCTTGCCTGGGTTGGCTTCAAACCATGATCCTTAGATCTCAGCCTCCTGAGTATCTGGGATAATAGGTATAAACCACTGGTGCCAGAGACTTTCTTAGCAAGCTCTTCCCAGACCTTTCCTCTCCCCTAGGACTTTTAGCCCGAATCCCTGGGGAGAAAGTGACTGAAACCATCCACAGTTAAAAATAAATGTCTTGGGGGAAGTGGCACTGTGGCTCAAGCAGTAGAGCTTGAGCTGAAGAGCACAGGGACAGGGCCCAAGTCCAGAGTTCAAGTCCCATGACATGACACCCCCCCCCCAAAAAAAATACTAAAAATAAATGTCTTGGGGCTGGGAAGGTGGCTCAGTGGTATTGTGCTTGCCTTGAATGCATGAGGCCCTGGGTTCGATTCCTCAGTATCACATAAGCAGAAAAAGCTGGAAGTGGCTCTGTGATAAAGTGCTAGCCTTGAGCTGAAGAGCTGAGAGAGAGTTAGGCCTTACAACCGGACAAAAATAAATAAATAGATGTCTTAGCTGGGCACAGGTGGCTCATGCCTGTCAACCTAGCTACTCAGGGCCAGCCGGAAAAGCTGTGAAACTCTTACCTCCAATAAACCACCAGAAAACCAGAAGTGGCACTGTGGCTCAAGTGGTAGAGTGCTAACCTTGAGCTGAAGAGCTGAGGGACAGTGCTCAGGCTCATGGTTCAAAGAAATAAAAAAATAAATGTCTTTCATTTCAGATAACCAAGAAATTCGTCAAGGGCTCTACAGAGAAGAACAAGATGAGACTACAAAGAGTAAGGCGTGTTCACACACACACATGCACGCACGCACACTCCATGTACTTCTCTTTCTGTAGGGAACAGTCCCGGCCCCTCCCTGCCCATCCCCCCTTTGCCATAGCCACAGCCATGTTCTATATAACAGGGCCACGCAGCTTCAGGGTTGCCTCCTCTGCTTTGCCAAGCCCTCAGGTTTAGCTCGGAGCCTTGTCTAAGCTTTTATTATTAGCAGTAGTATTGTTACTACTGCCTCAATGCCCTGGCTTCCCTTAATTTGAAATCGCCTCAGAAAGGGCTGGAGTATTCACCTGCCAACTCCCGAGTTGGGTGTCCATGATGGGAAAAGACTCAAGATGGCTACAGTGGTGTGATGTTCATCTTTGCAGCTTCCCGCCCTGCAGCTAAGCCCAGTGCCTCATTATCCTTCAGGCCTATCCCATCTCCCCCCCTGCCCTAGGGTGTCTTCCATGTCCACGAATGACTTGCAACATTTTTGGCAAGATAAAGCAATCCACCAACCCTCTTTCTCAACACAGTGACCAGAGGTCTGTCAGGGCAGATTTATAATGTTATTTTACAGATGGGGCCTGTGGTATCACACCAGATGCCCAAACTGAGTAGTCAGTTCATGGGGTGCTGTTCTGAGGGGTACTGCCATGTGAGAAACACATCAGCAGCGCAGGCAGGTGAGCTCACCTGACACTTAGGATTTGGTAACTCCTGGGACCTAGGTTTTGTTTCATGTCCCATCCCTGCCAAATCAGGAACTAAGTGATAAAATGAAAATCCCCCACCTCAGAGACATCAAAGAAGCCGTTTTAATGAGACGATGCCAGTACAACCATTTAGGCGGCTCTTTGACTTCACTTTTTCCAGAGCTGAGGAAACGGTTTTAAAGAGAAATTTTGCCATGTGCTGGTGACTCACACCTGTGATCCCAGTTACTCAGGAAGCTAAGATCAAACAATTGTGGTTTGAAGCCAGCTTGAGGAGAAATGACCATGACACTCTTATCTCTAACCGCCAAAAAGCTGTAGCTTTTGTGGTAGAGCATCAGCCTTGAGCAAAAAGCTTAAGGATAGCACCCAGGTTCTGAGTTCAAACCCCCCCAGGGTTGAAATCAGGATCCATTTGAGACCAGCCTGGGTAAAAGTTCACAAGACCCTATCTTAAGCAGTAGCTGAGTATCGTGGTAAACTCCTGTCATCACAGCTAAGTGAGAAACATAAGTAGGATCACAGTCAAGCTTGGTCCAGGCAAAAAATAAGCCCTATCTCCGAGATACACCAGAGCAAAAAGGACTAGAGATGAAGTTCCATGGAGTAATAGCACCTGTCTAAGAAGTATAAAGCCCCCAGTGCATCTGGGCAAGGTGGCACATGCCTATAATCCATGGTACATTGCATTGGTAGAGATGAGGGGCTCACAGGCCAGCCTGGGCAAAACATGACTCCATCTCAACCAATGGCTGGGTGTAGTAGCACATGCCTAGTAAGACTTCAGCAGTAAAACAGGATTACAGACAGGCCTTGAAAAAAATCTTGGAAAAAAAAAACAACAGAAAAAATACAAGGGGCAGAGCCAGCCACCTGCCTAGCAAGCTGAAGGCCTTGAGTTTAATCCCAAGCATTACCACCCCAAAACAACAACAAAAACACCCTAAAAATCTGGTACCAAAAGAAATGGGAAGGATGAAGGATACCCTGCAATGGTGGGGAGCAGGGGGTGCACCCAGGCTTCACACACTAGCCACAGGTTACACTCCTTCGGACTTTGCCCAAAGTCTTGTAGAGTTTGCTCCCTTCCATCTGTGTGTTGGGTCTGCCCCTGGTGCTTGTGCAAGGCCAGTATCGACTTGTGTCATAGGATAAAGAGCAGTTGAAGGAAGAGAAGGAAAAGCTGAAGGAAGAGGCCCGTCGGGCCAAGGAAGAAGCCAAGAAGAAGAAGGAAGAAGAAAAAGAGCTGAAAGAAAAGGAACGGCGCGAGAAACGGGAGAAGGACGAGAAGGAGAAAGCAGAAAAGCAGCGGATCAAGGAAGAGAGGCGCAAAGAGAGACAGGAAGCTCTGGAGTGAGTTCCCTAAGCCAAGCATGGCCGCCGTGCCTCCCCAGTTACTGGGCTTGACCCTTACCTCTTTGCTATTGTACTGAGAAGGCAAAACGGTGGCCTCCAGTGCATTTGCCCTCATGGGCTGCGGGGTGGGGTAATGGTGGGTAAGTTGGGGCTATGTTGCCACTGTTCCTGTCCCCATAACAAGCTTCTCCAAATCCCTTTTTCAAATTTCCATCAAATGTGGGTATTGTCTGTGCTGGTGGCTCTCTGGCTAGTTGAGACTTGTTTATTTCTCTGTGTTCCAATTCCTATTAAAATTTTGTATTGAAGCCAGGCACTGGTGGCTCACACCTGCAATCCTAGCTATTTAGGCTGAGATCTGAAGATTATGGTTTGAAGTCTCTCTAGAGCAGGGAAGTCTGTAAGACTTATTTCCAATTAATCACAGAAAAAGCCACCGGTGGTGCCGTGGCTTAAGTGGTCGATTGCTAGCCTCAAACAAAAGGAGTTTAGGGACAGCGCCCAGGCATTGAGTTCAAGCCTTGGGACTGGCACACACACACAAAAAAGAATTCATATTGAACTAGACACTGCTGGACTCACTCTTATAATCCTATCTACTTAGGAAGTTGGGCTCTGGAGAATCTCTGTTCAAGACCAGCCTACTCAGAAAAGTCTACAAGACTCACTATTAAACCACCAAGAAGCCCAGCTGCAGGCAAAGCTCAAGTGGTAGAGAACGAAGTGAGAGTACAAGGCCCTGAGTTGAAGCCCAGTTGTCCCTTCCCCCGAGTAATTCATACTGAAAAGGGGGTATAGTGATGCACAACTGTAACCCCAGCATTTTAGAAGGCCAGGATTGGAAGGTTGCAGTTCCAGCCCAGCCTGTGCTCTGTAGTGAAACCCTGTCTCGCAAAATTTAACTCTAGCTGGGAGGTGGCATGCATGAGGTCCTGGGTTCGATTCCTCAGCACCACATATACAGAAAAAGCTGCAAGTGGGTGTTGGGGCTCGAGTGGTAGAGCACTAACCTTGAGCTAAAGAGCTGAGAGACATTGCCCAGGCCCAGAGTTCAGGTCCTACAACCAACCAAAATCAAACAAAACAAAAAATTTAATTGTAGCTGGGTACTGGTGGCTCACACCTTTAATCCTACCTACTCAGGAGGCTGAGATCTGAGGATCTTGGTTCAAAGCAAGCCCAGACAGGAAAGTCCGTGAGACTTACCTCCAGTAAACCACTAGAAAACTGGAAGTGCCGCTGTGGCTCAAGCAGTAGAGTGCTTGCCTTCAGCTGAAGAGCTGAGGGATAGCGCCCAGGCCCAGAGTTTAAGCCCCACGACCAAAAGAAAACAAGTTCTGATTTTCATTTTTCCTTGTTTATACTCATTACATACTTTTAAGGTGGACATCAAGCCAACTTCTAGCCACTGGAGACAGAGCACTGCTTCCCAATCAGCACACCCAACACTTCCTACCAGAACCCCAGCCCAAGGGTGGCTCAAACCTCATTTGCTCTCTCATAGGGCTAAGCTTGAGGAGAAGAGGAAAAAAGAGGAGGAGAAACGGTTACGAGAAGAAGAAAAGGTAAATTGGCTCACCCCCCCCCCCCAACCTGAGAGCCGCTGTCCCGAAAGGGTGCTTTTGCCTTCTTTGTCACCCCCTATCCTGTCTTGGGGAACCAGGGGACATCCGCAGCAGCTGCCGAGTGCTGGCCCATCACACCTCCCCGGCTGCCTGTGGGATGGCGCTGGCATCCCACCAGCCTCCCTCTAGCCAGTGGCCTTAGGAACGAACATCAAAATAATGTGTTGCTCATCCACACTCCTGGGGTTCTCTTTGGAGTATTAGACTGTGATCAAAAACTGCTCCTGTCTCCCCATTCCCTGCTCTGTCCCAGCGCATCAAGGCTGAGAAGGCTGAAATCACCAGATTCTTCCAGAAACCAAAGACTCCGCAGGCCCCCAAGGTGCGTAGCTTCCCCCTTTCCCTTCCCCCGCACCCAGTCTGGAGGTTCAATTATTGGTCTTCTAGTTTGTCCCAAAGAGGAAAAGGGGGTCCTTTTGAATGTGCTGTTTTCAGAGCCGCCTTGGCAGGCCATGCAGGGGTGGAGGGGTGAGAGCCACCACCTGGCCTTACCTAAGAATGCGATGCCACTGGGGCCAGCTCCATCCCAGCGTGGGGCCACCCTCGCAGCCCTCACCTCCCCACTGGCATTGCTTCCTTCACCCCTTCAGTGCAAGGATGGCCGTGGGTCCTTTGCTGCTCATAGATATCCACACAGGCTGCTGTTCACATGCAGGCCACTTGGTGGGTCTGTAGTCACTTGTGTTACAACTTGGACTTCGTGTGCTTGGTTCATTTGATCATTCACATAAACTTGGAAACATTGTGGTTCTTGTGTAAAACTACATGCTTGGACACAGTTGTCTTTTCACTGGACTGAGCTTTTTCACTCAAGATTGTGGTACTTGCCAGGCACCAGTGGCTCATGCCTATATTCCTAGCTACTCAGAAGGCTAAGATCTGAGGATCACAGTTCAAAGCCAGCCTGGGTAGGAAAATCTGTGGCACTCTGTATCTCCAGTTAACCACCAGAAAACCAGAAGTGGCGCTGTGGTTCAAATGGTAGAGTGCCTAGGTCCAGAGTTCAAGCCCCTCAACCACCACCACCATCCCCCCCCCCAAAAAAAAAAAAAAAGACTGTGGTACTCTACCACTTTTGAGCCACATCTTTGTTTCTGGCTGTTTGCTTATTAATTAAAGATAAGGGTCTCACAGACTTTCCTGTCTGGGTTGGCTTTGAACCATGATCCTCAGATCTCAGCCTCCTGAGTAGCTAGGATTATAGGTATGAGCCTCTTTGACACTTGTGAGCATGGTTTTTGGACTATCGGTGGCCCAAACCCACCTTTGCACCCACACATCCTTTCCTTCACCCAGAAGGGACCTTGCTCAGCAGAGGACACCCACATGGGCAGAACTGTTGGCTCCCAGGCCAGGGTGTACACTGGGGCTTCTATCCCAGGAACCTTCCTACTCAGTTCCTCGTGCCGTGGAGCAGCTGGCCTGAGAAACTCAAAAGAAAGGTTTACATTGGCTTCCATCATGGTGGAGCAGAATAGCTCACCTTACAACTAGGGAAAAGGAGAGGGGGGGGTGCTGAGGTCTCACCATCCTGTTACACCGCATCCAGTGGCGCGTGCTTTTGGGGAGGCTCAGTCTAGACATTAATCCGTGGTGTCCACGGCCAGGGCTCGCACCGTCCTGTTGCCTGGGTCTTGCTGAAGGCTAGTACTCTACCACTTGAGCTACAGCACCACTTCCAGCTTTTTCTGCTTATGTGGTGCTGAGGAATCGAACCCAGGGCCTCACGAGTGCAAAGCAAGCGCTCTACCACAGAGCCACCTTCCCAGCCCAGTGTTTTGTTTCTCATGTCACCATTTTTATTCTTTAACAACAACTGGCTATGCTCTGTTGTTGTAAATACATTCTCTTAATTTTTTCTCCTATTTTCTTAAAATAAAAGCTTAATTTTTGTTTTTTCATTTGGCTTGGTATCACCAGAATGTGTGGTGCCCAGGGCGGGGGCCGGGGCCCTCACCTGTCCGCTGTGCTGACCATGTCCCAGGGCCTCTGTCATCTCTGTCGTGAAGACCTCTGCTGGTGCTGGGCTCAGATCTGCTCATTCTGCTGGTGCCTGGCCCCCACCATTTCCCAGGCGTTCTATGGGTATGGCCGCCAATGGGGTCTAGTTTTCTCCTGAGCCTGTGTACATCCCAGCAGTGGCCTTTCCTCTTGTCCCCCAGCATTGTCTTCCATTGCTGCCAGCCTTGGTACCACAGCTAATGGGGTCAGAAAGAAGGGTTCAGATCACCCCAACACTGAGGTGAGACTGAGAAATGAGACCTGATGTATAATCATCCTGTTTGACCTTGACCACTCTGCTCAGGTCTTTGGTTCACTCAGCCAGGAGAAATGGAGGAATAATTTATCCATAGCGTCTTCCTGTGCCGTCCAGCCTAGCTCGGGACTCCCGAGCCTCGGCTTTCACTCCTGACTGCTGGGTTGATGAGTGTACGCGCCTGCCCAGTGGAACCATCGCCCTTGGCCTCTGTGCCCTGCCAGGTTCTCCTGGTGCGTCCGGGCCCTTCATGCCCACTCAGCCTTTGTGTTTCAGACCCTGGCCGGCTACTGTGGGAAGTTTGCCCCCTTTGAGATTAAAGAGCACATGATCCTTGCCCCTCGGTGCCGGGCAGCCTTCGACCCGGACCTCTGCGATCGGTTAGACCAGCTCCTCCAGCAGCAGAGCGGAGACTTCTCCTTCCTGAAAGAGCTGAAAGGCCGCCAGCCCCTCAGGTCGGGACCAACTCGAGCCCACAGCCACAACGAGGACTCTGACTCGTTCAGCAGGTTAGAGCCTCTTCCAGAGGAGGAGTCAGTCCCAAGGAGCAGAGCTGAGACCCTAGCCCTCACCCCACACCTTCCCCATGGCCCAATCCTGGTTCTGCTCTGCTGTTGCCAGACTCTGGCTCATGAATCCTGGGGTTTCTTGCCTCCAGACTCTGGCTCATGAATCCTGGGGTTTCTTGCCTCTCCTTGCTGACCCCGTTCTTCATGCTGCAACTCACATCTTGGTTATGTGCCTTATGTAAAAGCCCCCCACCACGCTTTGGGGACAGTGGTGCTTGTGTGTAGGGCAAACCATCCATCCGGCTCTTGCTGCAGCCTGTGGGCAGAGTAGGCAGCAAGGGCAGAGTGGGTGGCGGAGGAGGCACATTCCTGAGCTCAGCTCGCCCTCAGTGATGTCATGATCGTGGAGAGCAGCAAAGTCGATGGTGTGCCTGAGCGAAGCAAGTTTGGCCGAATGAAGCTCCTGCAGTTCTCTGAGAACCACCGGCCAGCGTACTGGGGCACATGGAATAAGAAGACAGCAGTGATTCGGCCACGGGATCCCTGGGCTCAAGACAAGGTGAGCCCTTGCAGGTCTCTTCGCCCAGCTTTCCTCACACTCTGGTTCCTTGGACGTGCTGGCTTCACCCTTCCTTTGTAACCCACATTGCACCACTCTTTGCAGAAGCTCCTGGACTATGAGGTGGACAGTGACGATGAGTGGGAGGAGGAGGAGCCCGGGGAGTCCCTGTCCCACAGCGAAGGGGTAAGGATGGGCCACAAGCCCAGGCTGCCCAGCCGCAATACCACAGAGCCATATCCACTCCAAAAAGCCAAGCGCACATTGAATACCCTGGTTCCCACTCCCCTTGTACCCCAGGCTACACGTGTCTGCTTCTGCCCAGCCCTGTGGCCCCATAGGATTCTTGCTGCCCTGTGGCAGTGTCACAGACTGCACCTACTTGCTTTCTGTCTGCGCTGGCTGGAGCCCAGGGCCTCGCTGGGCAGCTCCTCCGGGGAGCCGCACGCAGCCCAGCACACGCAGATGTGTGTTCATGGTGAAGCCCCCTTTGCTGTTCCTACACATGTTCAGTTACTTCCTTTTCTCTCAAGGATGATGACGATGAAGTGGGCGAAGATGAAGATGAGGATGATGGCTTTTTTGTGCCCCACGGATACCTGTCTGAAGACGAGGGTGTGACTGAGGTGAGGATGGCAGAGGTCAGAGTCCTCACCTGGGAGCGGGTGCTCTGTGGCCTCTGACCTCTGAACTCTTGACACTGGTCCTGATCCCCACTGCAGCCCGGGAGAGTGGCAGGATGCACCCAGTAGAAGCTTCTGAGCAAAGAGGTGTATGTGCAGAAAGCGGGGGGGGGGGTGAGGACGCAACATTCTTGGGTGCCTTCAACCTATACACCTCAGTCTTTTTTTTTTTGCGCTCATGGGGCCTGAACTCTGGGCCTGGGCGCTGCCCCTCAGCTCCAGCTCAAGGTTAGCGCTCTACCACTTGAGCCACAGTGCCACTTCCAGCATTTTCTGCTCATGTGGTTGCGGAATTGAACTCAGGGCCTCATGTATGCAAGGCAAGCGCTCAACCACTGAGCCACCTTCCCAGCCTAACACCTCAGTCTTCCACTAATGTGAGGTTTCTTTATTTTGTTTTTTTGTGCTAGGGTTTGAACTCAGGGCCTTGCACTTACTAGCATCTACAGATGCTCTGCCCATTTGAACCAATTCCCCAGTCCTTTGTGTTTTAATTGTTTCTCAGGTAAGAATTCAGGAATTAGGGGCAAGTGATAGAGCATTAATCTTGAGCAAAAGATCAGGGACATCGCCTAGTCCCTGAGTTCAAACCCCAGGATCAACACACAGCACCAAAAAACACACAGATACAAGCTCATATTTTTGCTTGGGCCAGGCGTGAGGAGATCCTTCTACCACTCCATCCAGAGTAGATAGGATCATAGGTATGTACCACCATACCCAGCTTTGTTGAGTTCATTGAGATAGGATCTCACTAACTCTGGGGGGAGGCAGGGGCCTGATTTGGCCTCCAACTTCTGTCTTTCTGTCTCTGCCTCCTAACAAGCTGGGGTTAACCATTGGCTATGTCTGTTGTTTGTGAAACTCCCACTGGAGATAAACTATCCCATCACCCCAGAAGACTCCCTGGGTCCCTACAGTGGTCTCACCACCCACTGCTTTCTAGTATCAGAGACACGGCTTTGAAAGTCATTGGGTGCAGCAACGAGGAGACAACTGTCTTGGGGGAGCTGGGAAGGTGGCTCAGTGGTAGGGTGCTTGCCTCGCATGCATGAGGCCTTGGGTTCGATTCCTCAGCACCACGTAAGCAAAAAGAAAAAAGCCGGAAGTGGCGC